CATAAACATAATTTCTCTCTCCTGAGTTTTTGATAAGGCTGGTAGTAATATTTTCTATTTTCTGGTTCAGGCCTGAAGGGTGAGTATTCCATATTGTGGATAATGGGATGGTTTATACCAGAGGTCAGCAAACTTTCTTTGTAGATGGATAAATAGTAAATATTTTAGGATTTGAGGGCCAGATGGTCTATGTCACAAGTACTCAATTCTACCGTTGTAGTGCAAAACCGGCCATAGTACATAAGCGAATGGACATGATTGTGTCCCCATAAAGCTTGATTTACAAAGCAGGAGGCAAGCCAGGTTTGGCCCATGACCTGGAGTTTGCCAGTCTCTGGTTTAACCTAAAAAATCAAAAAAGCAAAGTATATCATAGGCATTCTTTCACTGAAATGAAGGAACAATTAGAAACACGGTGACTTTGGCCTTGGGGTTTGCTTGGTGGTAGGCGATGAGACCCACTGGAGGGAATGTGCCTCATGCTAGGGTTGCAGATTTGATACGGTCATTCTGTGAGCACACAGACCCAGAGGCAATCTGATGTAGCTCCTCACACATTACAGTGACGCTCAACAAAGGGGGAGCTGGGATGGTTGCAGTGCAGAGCTAGGCTGGGTTTAAAAACCTTTCAGGCTCTGCGGAGAAGGAGATTCTGATATTCCTCACCTGGAAGGGTCTGCCACAGCAAGACTTCATGGTTGCTTCCCAGCAGGGGCAGATTATCCAACAGGCAATGTAAGCACCGTGCTCACCTTGCTTACCAGATCATCTGGAGAGAACAATTTCCCATCTGTCACCACATCAAAGATTCTGCTTCTCGGTCTGTCTGGCATCTGTCTCTCTCTCAACCCCACAGCATCTTCCTACAGAATCAAAGCCTCTTTTCAAATATACAGTCCCTGACAGGGACGGATGACCCAGTAAGCAAGGAGAAACCCATGTGAAATTGTTTACTATAGATTAGTAAGTAAACACAAGTACTCCTGTGCTTATCTTGCCTATTGGCTAATCCACCCCTGCTTCCCAGGAAAGGGAGAAGACAGTGTTGGATTATGTCCAACAGACTACTGTGTGCTGTTCAATCCTTTGCCATGTTTAAGTGCACAGTCTATTGCAGGCTACCGATGCGAATTCTAACCTATCTCTTTGAGCACAACACTCGGTATGGGAAAAGGTATGGCTGTTCTCAGGAAAATATACATGATTTCATCGTAAAACGACTAAGCTCTGCTAGCCGAAAGGTTGGTGGTTTAAATTTACCCAGAGGCACCTGGGAAGACAGGCCTGGTGATCTGCTTTTGAAAGGTCACAGCCTGGAAAACCCCATGGAGCCGTTCTACTCTGCATGCATGGGGTCGCCGTGAGTCAGAATCGACTCAATGGAAACTACCAATAATAACAACATGAGCAGGTAACACATGTCGATGGTTTGTTGGGGGCTGAATCCTTACATACCTCTCGCTGACCGTAAACTAATCCGGGAGGCCAGCTGTGTAAGGGCAGCTGCCTTAAGGGTTGAGTCTGAGAGGTCTTTGGTGACATCAGAAGAGGTGGCCCTAAGTGATTTGAAATCTGCAACAACAGGTGGTTCAGGGCCTCAGCCTTAAACGTTGTTTAGCCAGGTTATGGATGACCCATAGCCCTGAGCACCGAGTTCTGTATTCCATGTAGAGTGACAGTGGGAATGTTGGCTTAAACATAGATAACAGCTTCCAAAGAGTTTGCCAAAAAACCACCTGTGAATGCAGTTGTGTCTTCTCTGGGCCTTGACTGTCAATTTGAGCGCGGTGTGGTGTACAATACTTCCTAGGAAGTGAGTCACTGAGGTGTTGGTCCCTTCTGAAATTTTGTAACCATTCACCTCTCCTGCAGCATCAGATGACTGAGAAAACGGTCTCTCTTCATTGTAATCATCTGCTCCAGGCTTATGGAGCGCAAGTCCTGTGTCTTCATCTTCATGTACTCAGGGCTTAGCTCAGTACCTGGCCCATAAGGACACTCTAAAATGTTTGCCCAATGAAGGAATCCTGGAAAATATCCTATACAATACTGTTACTTATACAGCAGATATATATATATATATATACACACATATATATAATATTTATATGTTGTTGTTGTTAGGTGCTGGTGAATCGGTTTTGACTCATAGCGACCCTGTGTACAACAGAACAAAACACTGCCCGATCCTGTGCCATCCTCACAATCGTTATGCTTGAGCCCATTGTTGCAGCCACTGTGTCAATCCATCTCGCCGAGGGTCCTCTTCTTTTTCGCTGACCCTCTACTTTACCAAGCATTATGTCCTTCTCCAGGGACTGATCCTTCCTCATAACATGTCCAAAGTATGTGAGATGTAGTTTTGCCATCCTTGCTTCTAAGGAGCACCCTGGTTGTACTTCTTCCAAGACAGATTTGTTCGTTCTTTTGGCAGTCCATGGTATATTCGATAATCTTTGCCAACACCATAATTCAAAGGGGTCGGTTCTTTTTCAGTCTTCCTTATTCATCGTCCAGCTTTCGCATGCATATGAGGCGATAGAAAACACCTAGGCTTGGGTCAGGCACGCCTTAGTTT